ATTCCTCTCTTGCCTTCTCCTGGAGCGACCCCTAACGGGATGTGACACAGGTGCCACTGAGCTGTGCAACTCCAGCCCTGCCACTGTGGTCCAGGTGTCCAAGAGGGCAGCTGGACACTCCCAGGGCTGCCAGCTGGGTCCTACTGGTCCCAGCGATGTGTGGTCTGCAAAGGAAGCAGAGAGAGAAAGCAAGCCAGAACGGAGAATGATAAACATAAAATACCTTAGAAGTACACAGGGATGTTCATGGAGGAGCAGGGAATGATACCAAAAGAGACAGGAGGAAGACTGCATTTGCAGACAGCAGAGTAAGAAAGTGACTACGGTGCCAGACACAGTGGAGAGAGACTTGGTGAAGGGCTCCTCTATTAGTCAGGCCCTCATGGGGTCAGGGAAGTTCAACAGAAACAGCCAGAACTGTCTGTCCTGCAGATTTGTTTATGGCAGCTGCAGAAACATGTTTATTCCTTAAACATGAATTTTACCTTCTGTACACATGTGCATATGTACACCATAACCACAACACCTGAACATTGGGGCCATCCTGCCACAGTGCCTGGGTGAAAATTCCTCTTTACAACTTCCAGCGCATGAGATGTGAGTGCACAGCTGAGTTACTGGGTACCACACAGCCACAATGTAGTTTTATGAGGCAGAGCATGTAGATTCAACAGCTCACCTCACCTGAGAAGGAGAGTTTCTGGTCTTCCTCTGGTCCTGGCTGTGTTATTTCCCCTGCTAAAGTCATGCCAACATGGTTGCTCATCAGATACACTGTGAGTCACTTCAAGTTGCTAAAGTTGCAGAAAAAAACAGCAGCACACAAGAAGAGATTTGAATCGTTTCCTGCTATTTTAATTTGTTTAAACAGCTCTTGGAAGGGCCTAATGTCAGGCTGGAGGAGGCAGGGAACAGAAGCAATGACTGCCCAGCCAAGGGTAGGAGCTGTTAGAGTCAAGCCTGTAGGTCTGTACCCTTACCGCTGGCCTGGGTGGTTTGCTGGGTGTTTCAGCCCACAATTTGACAGAAGATAAAACTGCTGTTCAGTGGGTTGATACCATGGCAATAGTCCAGCAGGGAAAAGACAGGGAAAGAAAAAGTGAGTAGCTGAATAATAGTATAAATTGGAGTATTGCTGTTTGTTATAGCAGGAAGACTACTCAGAGCAAAAGAAGACCTGATTCAACCAAAATTAAAAAGTATGATACCTTGAAGTTACTATCCTTTGCACTTTAGATTTTATGGACTAAATGAAACAATTATCTGGAAAGCTCTGGTAATATTCACTGTCTTCTAGATTTCAACCATTCTCCTCACCTTCAGCACTGAAAACCAGTGCAGGAAAGGAGCATGGGAAAGGAAATAGCAATCCAGGAGCCCAGACTTGAGTCCTGTATCTTGCTCAGTAAGGAGAGGGTTAGTTCCCAAAGCCAGATGTTCACTGTGCTGATTTTAATACAAACAAGTAACATATTAGATAGATCCTAAGATTTTAAACTTGAGAAAGGAAAAGAATAACCAAACTAATGGAATTTTGAGATGTTCAGACCTCCTGTCATTTTTTACACTCAAGCCTTGCAAGATATTCATTGTTACATGGGATTAGGGAATAGTTATAGAGATAAGTAACTTTCCCATAAGACCTTTTGGCCGACAAGTTTCTGCAGGTAGAGCTCTAAGATAGCACAGCTAACTGGCCAGTGAAAGCAGAAATGGCAATGCAGACTCAGAAATGTGGCTTGTAACTCAATCCTTTCTGCCAGCAGTACAGACATAGGTCACTGCTAGAATGTGTGTTGCCACACCTTGATAGAGCTAAGATTCAAAACTTAACTGTCCTTTTATTCCCTATTTCTCAAACCTGTCTGTCCTGTTTATACTAGTATAGTAGGATTTGGTATCAGCTTGTAACTGTGACAGATCAAGGCTGCACAAGGCTTTGGGGGTGCCTGAGTCTAAACATCCTATACAGTTTAATATTCCCATCAAAGCCCTGATGATTGTACAAGGCCTTAGGGATTTCCACTAATTGTCTGCTACTCTCACAAACCCTGCTGCCTCTCATCGTAGACCTGTAATTTATTCTACATAGTGCTTAGCATTTGACAATTTTATTTAATACAGGAGACTTTTTTATTGCACTTAAAAAAAATTAAAAGAAATTAATCCATGTGATAAAAATAGTTGGTGGAGCAGCTGCTAATGAACCTCCCTCTGTTGTTTAGTTACTCTAATCAGTTCTACAGGCATGCATGTGTGACATGTACATACAAAACCTGTCCAACCTGAATGCCCTGTTTAAGGAAATTTTTTGGGCATGCCATTAAAGCATCTACAGCTGCAGTTACAAATACAGTAGACTTACATTGATCATATTTGTCGTCCCATGAGCAATCAGCTGAGTGAAGTTAAGGGGTTGCATACAGAATGCGTGTGAACATACAGAAAGTTTTGGAGCAGCATCGTTGAGTATTGGGGTCAGTTATAAAGGTGGGGAAGTTAGCAGCAGGCAATGACTACTTTGACAACAGAAAATTGCCTTTTCTAAAGTTCAGCAAGGTGACGTACAGGAAAAGTTGATGCTCAGCAGGTCAGTGTAGGAGTAGTCACAGACAAAAAGAAAATTCTGAGGTCTGCAGTAGAAGAAAGCTGACTGGTCATGAATTCCCAAATACCAAGTTCCAAAACATACTTAAAATTTATGTTTCCCTTAATCAACTGGTCTTTCCTCCCTGTAGACTTGTAAGAACTGTTTCCTGATGGAGCATCTATGAAATCAGTAGTCAGCTTTAAAAGGGAAGTAACCTTTTGCAGCCTACACTCTACAAGGGCCCTGAGGACCTATGCTGACTCCCTGTATTTGGAAGGCATAATGTACAACTCATCTGAGCAGACAAAAAATTATCTGATTCAGTTCCAATTAATGTCCTGTACAGCTACTACTCTCTCAAAACATTATGAACAGTCCTAGTAAAGCAATGACTCCGTGTCTTTGAAAAGTGTTGAGTCTTTTGGCTGCATTGTTTGAATTTGGTACAAGGAGCTCCAAATCCTGACTTAAGATTTAAATTTCTCTTTACATTTAGCTCCACAAATATGTTCTTTGAAATATTTGAATATTTATCATGATTATTTCCTTTGAAATATCTGAAGCCTCCTGAACATATTTGGTAGCTAGCATGGTTATTGCCCAGCTCCACAGAAATGGTTGTGCAGAAGGGTCAGAGAAAAGGCACATTGTCATGCCAAAATCAGCATCACTCCTGAAGAATACATGCAGAGAACTGCACACTTAGTTTCTCTTGAGCAAGAGCATTTTATCTGCTCTGCCTGCTCTACCTAATTCTTTTTAGGAGATGAAATATATATGTATACAATTATATATACATATACTAGCAAACGAAAAGATGCTAAGTTTCATTTAGTCTGTTCCTAGTATTGCCACCGTTATCAGTGCTCCCTTTTGTGCTTCTGGGATGGTTTTCAAGGCCATGATGTGAAAGGGCTCCATACCTACCTACCTACAGCTGCTTTAGCAGTAGTTAGGTGACCAGGCTGGGTACAGGTGGAAGCAGGAGCTCCTGAAGTGGCCAGAGGCCCTTGTCAAACAGCTGCAAGTACCTTCCTGAACAGAGCAAGTGGCAGGAGGAAAGGGCTCATTATAATCCTCAGCCCTCTGTGGAAAGAATAAGAAGGGGCAGAATGGGAGTACTCGATAATTTTTCATGGTGGCTGTCACTGGTTTTCTTTGATTAGAAGCATCTGGCAACACAAGAGAGGAATTTGTTTAATTCCCTTGTGTTGCTGCTTCAGCCCTTTCTTTTCGAAGCCTATGTAGCCTTGACAGCATCTGAACCATTGCCCAAGAGGAACATGCCATGCTGATCAATGTTAGCAGTATAAAAGTCTGTAGGCAAACCACAGATCCTGTCCCACTTCATAGATAAATATGGGACCACTGTGTCAAGTATCTTACATTCTTGGCTGTCAGACAGCAATGGAATAATAAGATTCACAATTCTCTAATTAACTTCAGAAGATGGGAGTGACATGCCTGATACTCTAGGGGTTTTCGTTTCCCCAGTAGACAACTCTAGCTATGCTGCGCTTCAACATCCTTCATGTTTACTAATCTTAGTCTGACCCCTAGTGAGCTGTCACAGAATAATCAGATTTATCTAACGTGATGCACCTTCCCAACAGGCAACTATCATAATTTCAATTTTTTTCTTACTAAAACTTGATAACTTTTATCAGTAGCATAGCATTAAAAAAAGAAGTGAAGAGTCAGCTAAGAAGTCATGAGGCTTTTTCTGAAGATGGGAGCATAGAAGAGAACACATGACCTAGTATCAAATTCACTTATCTCCACACATAAAGTAGTCTGCCTCTTTCCCCTCCTTTTTTTTTTATGCAATCAGAAGCTGCTTCTTCAGATTTATGGATAAATCTTTGCCTGTGAAAGAGATGAAGTGCAAGTTACATCTGGTTATTAACAAACAGACAAAAAAAAAAGGATGCAAGTTAAAGCAGTAAACACATTTTAAAGGACCTAAATAATTTGCGCAACTTTTCAAGCCATTAGAAGCTCTTAGGTTTTTGTCAGCTTTAACCTCAGCATTTTGTTCATGCTGGATATTTCTTGCTCAGTGTGTTTATGCCAAGTAGTTACAGGCCAAAATACAATCACTGTGCGCTTGGCTTGGCAACAACACAAGCACAGTAAAAATTTTATGGATTTTTTTTCCTTGCATGAAGATCCATCTATCAAGCATGCTGACAAATTAAAAGAAGTAATTTGCCCAACCTCCAAAATATACCCACGAGAGTTCAGGCCCTCATTTTTTTATTTCTTTTTAGTTTAAAGCACTGCTCTTCTGTAGCTGTAGCCAAGAGGACTATCTCAGTACTAATGTATATGGTTTTGGTGTACTTCTGTCGCCCACAGTTTGCACAAGATGTAATCTCAATGCCTATTCCCATGTTTCTGCTCCTTACAGGTATTTTGAAGTTTGTGGAAATCACAGTTAACCTCCTGGTGCTGGTTTGTGTGAGTGCTTCCCAAGCCTCTGTTGCAGGCTTCACATCCCTTGGAGGCTTTGGATCCTTTGGCCTGAATTCAGCCTATAGCCCCTTCGAGGGCACGGAGCTCCGGGAAGTGAGGGATCTAGACATGCAGTTCACCCAGATGAGAGCCCCTTGTGTGTATGGCGGAGTAGCCTTCAGCTTAACAGCAGCAGCACTTACCCTTGTCTTCCTCGTCGTGGGGGCAAAACCCATCCAGCAGCTCAGGACGGGGCTGCTGGTGGGGGAATGTGCCTTCAACCTGCTGGCTGGTGCAGCATACATTGTGGCAGTTGGCCTCTACCTGCATTTTGTCAGCCAGGTGAACTCCACGGAGGTTTGCAAGCGGCGCGAGAGGCTGTATGCTCGCCGTGGCTACACCTCCATGAGCTGCGTGGTCCAGGGCGGGGATGCAGCTGTTGGCCTTTTTGGTGTTGTTGCTGCCTGTTTGTACTTTGCCAGCTTTGTGGTCTGCATCTTTGCTATCCGAACCGTCCGGGCCTTCCAGAGCCACATGGCCAAGGCTCAGCACAGCCCCAAAGGCAGCATTAGAGACAGAAGCGTCACAAAACCCCATGCTGTTCACAGGACCTCTGAAAGCTCCCACAACATCCAGGCTCTTGCCACATTAGTGTGAAGTCGGCTCTGGGACTGTGCCAGAGAGCTGGGGATTCAGCGAGGGACAGACACTGCGTGTCACGTGGCAAACAGGTGACCAGTCCACAATGTATTTTCCTACAAGGTGCTGAAGTGTATATAGAACCACCAAATGTAACTATACTGCTAGAACATGACATAATAAAACTGACACTGAGTGAGTGTTTTAACAAGGTTTTTTGCACTGGTCTCTCAATTTGGACTCCTGCATGGAAAATGTGTTTGATTGTAATGTTTTCATCCTTCACAGAGCAAATCCAAACAGCAATGGGCTTTCACCAGGTTGCAACTGTTGCTGCCAAACTTGTGCTAACAACCACTTCCTTTCCTCTCCCATAACATAAGGAACTGAATACGCAGCTAGGATGGGCAGCTTTCAACAGATCCTGTGCCTGTTGTGCATCCTGTTGCCTTACCCCACAGTGCTCACAAAGCAAAGGACACTCGAGGGCTTTTCTGAGTCACGTCCGAAGTTACACTTGTGACCTGTTTTGCTTGGGCTAGTGAAGCGTTTTATCTTTTGAGTCACAGGGGTTGACGCCTGTCAATCATGTGCTCCCTGAGGAATGCTGCCGGGAGGAACTGGCTGCAATGTCAAAGGCAGCACTGGAGTCCTCAGCCAGTTTCCTACTACATTTTCCCGTCTCACTGAGTGCAGATCAGTGCCCAGGAGGCACCACACTGGTCAGGTGTCAGCTTATTAAAGATACCACTTGCTTCTGTAAGCACATAAACAAGGTTTGGCTTGCTGACTCCACAGCCAGTGGTGGGCAGAGCCTGAATTGGCTGCCCTGGGAATGCTGTAACAATGAAAAAGTACATGTATCCTTCCAATATATAAACAGGCAAAGCATGAGTGAACAGCAGTAATTGTATGCCCCAGGGGTGAGAAAATAAATTTAAGAGAACATCTTTCAAGAGTCCTTTGTTTGAGGCAGATGAAATAGATCACTGGTCTTCATGAGTGAGTGAGAAAAAAAGGCTGCTCATGAAGTACATAAAACTTGTCAGTTTGAGAGGAGGGAAGAAACAATTTTGATTCTGGCCATTCTCACTCTTTTCAGCTTTGGCTTGGAGTCATTGCCCAGATGAGGCTCTTTTGAACCATAGTAGAGCTTATTTATTGTATACCTCACACATATATGTGTGTGTGTGTGTGTGTGTGTGTGTGTGTGTGTGTGTATACACAGAGACCTCCAAGGATTGAGTTTGAGGTAATATAAGCCAAACAAGACAATGTTATGGTTCTGATTAGAAGAGATTACATGAGCCTTTACAATAAGTATCATTTATATAATACCTTAAACATATCTTTAACACTTTGGACACCAATAAGCTCCACAGCATTATTATGCTTGTGGAGAGACAGGAATAAAGAGTTTTTCCAAACTTGCATGACTCAGAGTCATGATAGAGTCAGGAAATGAAGACTTTGCTTTCGAGTTCTTTGCCCAAACCCAGACCTTCACTGGTATGCTGTAATCGGCTGGAAACACTGTTACAGGGATGTCTGGCATGCAGCTAAAGCCACAGCTAACCACTCGTTAGGGATTTCTGCCTGCACACTTGTTCCTGTGCTACCTCTACATCCTGCACATTTTGAATACTGGCTTAGTCTCACGATGACACACTGTTATTAACTTACACAAAAAACAAAAAGCAGCACCTTGAAGTGACACATTCAAAAGATTAGAAAAGGCTGCAGATAAGAATGTGTAAATTTTAACTCAATCCTTAAGTACATGCACAATGTGAATTTTAATCTCAGGGCTTCTTACTCTGCCCCAATCACTTTTGAATGCTTGCCTGCCATCACTGTGCAGTAGCAACAATCTTCTGTGAGCATTTATTCCATCTCTTTTTTCCTTGTGTGTGTGGTAAAAGCCTCATTTTTTGCAAGAGAATTCAGCCTTTAGAAAATGGTGCACAGAGCTTCCCTATGGACTATTGGTGTAGTGTTCCTGCCTTGGACACTTGGGTCCCTCACAGTCAATCCATTTTGGGTCCTTTTCCTGTATTTTATGCCTTTTATGGAAGAACCAAAAAGTAGCTGGTTACAGGTGCTCAGTTGGAGACGCCTGGGACCCCCTTGCTGCCCTAAGCATCCAGTCAGTCCCAGTCGTGTTTGCTCAGCTCCTCACCAGTTGCCTCCTTGCACTCACTATCCCCTCATGTTTCTGAGATTCGCAGCCTTAAGTTTATTCCTTATAACACATCTAAATCTACCCTCTTTTAGTTTAAAATCATTATCCCTTGTCCTGTCACTACAGGCTGTTTTGAAAAGTCTGTCTCTACATTTCTAACCAGCCCTCTTAATATATAGAACAACAAGATCTCCTCAGAGCCTTCTCTTCTCCAGGCTGAACAACCTCAACTCTTTTGCCTGTCATCACAGGACAAGTGTTCCAGTCCTCTGATCATCATTGTGGCCCTCCTCTGGACTTAGTCCAACAGGTCCACATCTTTCTGATGTTGGAGACCCCAGAGCTGGATGTAGTACTCCAGGTCAGGTCTCATCAGAGCAGAGAAGAGGGGGAGAATCACCTCCCTTGACCTGCTGGCCACAGTCCTTTTGATGCAGCTCAGGATGTAGTTGGCTTTCTGGGCTGCAAGTCCACACTGCCAGTTCAAATCCAGGTTTTCATCCACCAGTACCCCCATGTCCTTCTTCACAGGACTGCTCTTAATCCCTTCATGACCCAGTCTGTACTGATACTGATGATTGCCCCAGTCCAGGTGCAGGACCTTGCACATGGCCTTGTTGGAACTTTGTGAGGTTCACATTAGCCCACTTCTCAGGCCTTGAGACAGGTTGCTCTGGATGGTGTCCCTTCCCTCAAGCATATCAACTGCACCAGTCAGCTTGGTATCATCCACAGACTTGCTGAGATCCTGAAACACTGCAAGCGGAAGGGCCCCAAAGAAAGGCACAGCCTGGTGCTTGCGAGTTTCTTGAAAGCTTTGTGCCTCAAATTTGTTTCCTTCCCTGCCACCATGAAGCAAGATTACTAAGAAATAATTGTGAAGAGGAAATAAACATCAGTGCTGTTTTCTCCACTCACCTTCACAGAGGGAAGTGTAGGGGGGCAAAGGGCAAAATCACAGAAATACTTCCCAGGGAACTAGGGCAGGAAAGAAGCTTTCCTACCTCCTGGGGTGAGGGACAAGCCAAATACCTTCAGAATAATCCAAACCACCCTGCTTTTCAGCTGTAACACAACCACGCTTGGTATGCTGTAGCCAACTTGAAAATCTTTACTGTGGAAGCTGGGAAGTTGTAATACAAGAGCAGAGATTTTCCAGCACACATGACTAAGGCTGCAACAGGCTATTGTCCCCAGTTGCCACTGCAGGTGATCCTGCCCTCCAGGGCAGATTAGCTTTCCCCCTTTCTGCTGCAGATGGCTATGCCTCACCATTACCTCTGAGCAACGACTACCAGTTAGTACAGGACAATAATCAACATTTGGACCAGTGAACAAAGGCAGGGGAAATGGCTCCTATCAGCTCTACCATTTCTTTTAGCCTTTCCTTGCTGCCTGCCCTGTGCATACACATATGCACCCCCACAACCTTCAGGGTCAGCGCTGAAAATAAACTCACCTGTTTCTTTGAAGCTGCCTCTCACAGCCCAGTTTCACCTGCAACCAAAGGGACTGCACATAATCATTGCCCTCAGACTCTCGTTGGTAAAGGAGATTATCAGGGTGTATCCAGTTTGCCCACTGTGACTACTGCTAGCTCATCACCTGCTGTGAGGGGAACAGTGATAGTGAAGGTCAGACCTGCACTTCCCTAAGAGGGTGTCCTGTGAACAGCATGGCCTCTCTCAACCTTAAAGCCCTGGGTACAGCAAGAAGCCTTCTGGCACACCAAGCCTATTCTGAAGCTTTGAAAAGAGGAACGAAATAGCCATCATCCCTGGAGATGCCAGGAAATATATGCAGGTTGCAGGGTGAACTGGAGCTGCCTGGCAGGAGAAAAGCCCCACCACAGATGCTGGGTCACCAGTGCAAGGTGCTGGGGATAAATGAGCTGAGTAGCTCATTTATCTCAGTGTTACCTGTGAGACTCTCAGCCAGCCTCCTTGGATTTAAACCATCAATTTGCACCACTCTGCTTAGATGTGTGAGCAAAGAGCTTTAGTGAGTCTGAGAGAAAAGCCTCCAGCTGAGCTCCCCAGCCATTAGCCATCCACAAAGGGAACCCCTCCCCACAGAAGACCCTTGGAGAAAAACAATCTCTCTTTGAAAAATGTGTCTCCATACCCTAATGGGTAACAAAGGGCATGAGATACTTAGAATGACTAAGAAAGAAAGAAAAGAATCCACCTCCCTGATTCTGCATCCCACTACGGAGTAAACTGACATGAAAATTTTATCATGCTAGGTTGTGTACATTTGAGCACCCATTTTCCTGGATGTCTCTTTTTTCAAATAGTATTTCATAAAATAGTTAAGTCTGGGGAAAATCTTGTCCAAAACACAGAACATTAGCATTCAAAGATGCAGGTGTTCCAATGTGAAAGGCAAAATTGGTGGGGCTGAGGCCAAAGAGGAGAGAGAATATTTACTCCTGGAAATAAGCTTAACATAACCTTTACATTTCCCAAATAATTCATGTAACTAGAACCGTAAGTCTGGTGCTGCTGTAAGATCTGCACATATGAGGGCATTGCCATCCTGTTCCAGAGCAGCTATAAGGAGGAGTGACCTTTGTACCCATCTGCAGAAAGGAAACCTTTCAGGTAAGCACAAGCAACAAGCTTTTCTATTTTCTTAATGAGTTTAAGAAAATATTCTTTGACTGCATTACATTTTCTCAAAATTTAAGCTTTTCTCATTGCTCTTCAGAAGAGTTTGTGTGTATCTGATGTGCAGAAACAACTAGGGATGCAAACCGGTTGTGCAACAGCAGAACTGAATTCAAGGCTTAGCATTAAGAAAAGCTGGGATCTCAGTTTACATGGGAAACTGATTT